ACCTTTGGTTTCCAGGGATGGAGGGTCAGGAGAAAGGGGGATGACTTCCCATTGCCATAGAGCCAGGATTGATGGGATATTGGGAAGGAATTCCTTGCTGGAAGTTATGTGTTTTTAACCAGTACTTGGGAAAAAAATCCTTTCCTTTCCTTGTTTTTCTTTGTTCCATTTCTTTCCTTCTTCAATAAAATCATCCCCAGACCAGGAGTCTCCTTTGTCCTGGTGGGACAAAGCCCAAATAAATTACTTTGGTATCCTCATATTCCAAGGGCTATTGTATTTTTATTCCCTGTGGAAGCCAATTCCTCGTTGTGGGCATCTCATTTTCTTGGAGCTGCTGCAGTGGGAGTAATTATCTGATATCTGTATTTTAATCAAGAGAAATGTGTTCCAAAGCCCGGGATGAATTTACCTGCTGGAAGTTAAATGCCTGTAACTAAAAGCAGGGAATCTGCATTAAATTGCTGCCTTAAATTGCAGCTTTAAAAGCAAACAGCTGCGTGCACACGATCCACGGACTCCTGGATCCTGCCATTTGGATGCAAATCAGGCTGTCTATTTATTGCCAAAGCTTTATAATTTTGTGGAAAAGAGTTAGAAGAAACAAGGAGTAAAGCTGCGAACCAGACGAAACCGCGGTAATCATCGCGCTATAATAGAAATATGATTGACATTAGCATGAGATTGGCTGAGTTGTTCTGCCTCAAAAATGTGAGTTTTCAAGGAGATCCAGTTGAGGAGAAGGAAATCAATCCTAAACCTGACTTTTGCTGCAAATTTCCTGAAATCTGGAGCTTTTCGAGCTGTTTTGTCTCTGTTTTACCCTTGACTCTTTTTGATGCGCCGCAGGAAACTCCCGGCGCCGCGCCGTTGCCGAATCCCGCTAAAACCCGGCTTAAACTTTTTTTTTTTTTTTTATCTTTTTCCCCAGATTTGGATGATCCCATAGTCACTGTCCACCAGAGCATTGGGGAAGCCAAGGAGCAGTTTTATTATGAGAAGACCGTGTTCCTCAGGTGCGTGGCCAACTCCAACCCGCCCGTGCGCTACAGCTGGCGCCGCGGCCAGGAGGTGCTGCTGCAGGGCTCCGACAAGGGCGTGGAGATCTACGAGCCCTTCTTTACCCAGGTAAGCCCCCCAAAATCCCAGATTTTTTTCCCCCACCCCATCCTGAAGCTTTGTAATGGGTTTGTGGGGTGAGGGTTGGGGATGGCTGCCCCAAAACGCTCGCGGGTGTTAAAATTTAACATCCCGATGTAAAATGGAATTGAATGCTGGTCCAAATAGGAATTATTAAGTGATGAGGGAGTGATATGGACAGGAGGCCTTGTAAAGTGATTTTTATTGGATCCTGCAAGCCCAAACTTGTGATTTGATTCCTATTTCCTCATCCTTCCCGATGCAACTCAGCCATTCCGCGCTCAGCATAAATCACGGCCTTAAAAATCTCTTCATGTAGATTAAATTTTAGGAAAAATCAATTAAATTTTAGGAAAAGTTTCTTTATGGAAGAGGTACAGGCTGCCCAGAAGAGGGGTGGTGTCTCCATCCCTGGAAGTGTTCAAAAAAACCACGTGGATGTGGCACCTGAGGACCTGGATTAATGGAGGACATGGTGGTGGTTGATGGTTGGAGTTGATGATCTCAGAGGGCTTTTCCAACCTTA